CGACCGAGGAACCGTCGAAGACGAGGCGGGCGGCAAGACGAGGCAGGAGGAATGGCAAGGCGAACAAAACGAACTGCTTTAGATTCGAAATTACCTCTTTAAAATGAGATTATTGATTGGTACAGTTAAACAATTTTGTTCATTTTGTTTCATAAGTTTCATGGAACATTTTGAATTGATATATGAGAGTACCTCTAAAGATTGCTCTTTTAATTATATACTTTCTGGGATACTATGTTATTATTATCTATGTTATTTTCAAAAAATCATGCACTACATCAATTATAGCTGAGGGGAAGAGGGATATGTAAACATGGCATCTTAAGGACGAAATGATTAGTTTTATAAATCATTTATTGGACCAAGTGAAGACCAAGAAAGAATTTCTGAGAGCGTGGAGGGGGTATAGTGCATGGGCTTGTGTCTAGAGGTGATAACGGCGTCCGCTACGCGAGTAGATGGGGCGGGATGCGGAGGCGGAGGCGGAGGAGGCGCGAGGCGAAATTCGGAGTCGGAATGTGAAAGCGGTTTTGCCTCGCCTGCAAGAAGAGGCGCCCGCTGGAGGGGGGCGGGTGACAGCGCGACACCTCCCGCGCCCTCTGCGCAGCGGCTCAGAACGCGGGGGCAAGAAGTGCAGGAAGCGCGGCGCTGCGGTCCGGCGCCGAGCGCCAGCGGCGCGCCCTCCAAAGGGTCCCTTCCTATCCCGATGGGTGATGGCCCTTGGACGCGCAGACGAGACCAACTTCAGAGATCGTTATGAAGGGAGGTTAATGATCGCTTCCTGCACGAGTGTTCCAATTGTTGTGTAAGCCCGCAAACATTTTATGTTTTCGAGCTAAACCTGTAACTAGAGCCAATGTAAACGTCTTTTTGTCATATTAAAAATTTAAATATGCATTATTATATAACTTCTTTAATTGTTTTCCGGTTTATTTACTCTTTAGACTTTTTCTTTCATTGTTTTATAATGTATACGTATTAAACTTCTTACCTAATACAACAATTGTGATTTTTTTCGTTCAAAAATACTTTTCAAATCAAATATATCCACGTACCTACACTAAACGGCCTTGCTCTTCACAGTAGGCAAATGCTGAACAATCCTGATTTCGACAGTTTCAATAAATGTATTGCTTGTAATAAATTACTTTGTCTCTTCTTCATCGAGTATAACGGTTTTGTTATAGGATAAAATTGACATTTATAATGTTTCTCCACACCATGAAACAAATTCTTGTGTATAAATATGCTACAGCTATAAAACAGAACAGTAAGTCCCACTAGGCTACAATAGGTCTCATTCGATTCGGTTTTAACTCAACTTCTCGGATATTATAATCACAACTTTTTATAACAATGTTTCTCTCGTGATTGTAAACCAATATTTGCATGCTGCCATTATCATCGCGTAATTCATTACGCTGCCGCACGATCGCTTTTTGTTTATTTCATTCATTCCATAAATACTCCATTACTCAGTCCAGAGTTATTCCGAGGTGGAAACAATGTCGTTTTATACCCATTTGTGAAACATTATACTGTAAAACAAGCAAATTATTTGATCTGTAACTCAAGGATCACACCTGCAGCAGTTGTCCGTGTCTACAAGCAGTTTGCCGACAGGCACCCTGAAAAACAAATAACTAAGTAATGTTAAGTAAGTAATTAAGTAATGTTTCAGGGGATGGAATGTAATAGTTTTCTATGAAGATTTAAGGAAGATGTTAATTTGAAACGCGAAGTCTCTTTTCGAAATCCAGGATTCAAAATAATATTCGGGATTTTCTAACATTTTCATTTTATAAAAAAAACTTATGAAGTGTTAATGAATGAACATTTTCAGCGTGAACAAGCCTGCGAAACGGAGCATTTCAATACAATCAAAATGGCCGTCATATTATTTAAATTTCTGTTTCTTAAAACAAACGTGCTACAAAAATTCAGCTTTAATTACTGTAGCGTTAACAGAAATGTCATAGGTGGATTTGTTTAATTTTTTAACCTCATGTTTGTATTGGAAATTTTCAAATGTCGCTCATTAGTCCAGCAGCTTTCGCTGTTACATCCCATTAATTATACTACTGCAATGCGAAGAAATTAATTTCCTTGGTAGGGAATATGAAACTTCATGCCATCAGTGGTGCAAGTTCACATTCTTCAACTGCTCAGGAACGTGTGAGATATATACGAATTTCTTAGTTCCACCTTTCATTTATACGAAGTGGTCCCCATTTGTTGCTTTAAAATGAAGTAAAGTATTGCTTAAAAATGTAGTGTAGTATTTGATGAACTTAATCCGAATAAAATATATGAAATGTAAAATTATTGTTGTTGAATTGTATTACCAAATATTAGCAGCTTCAATTTTTGTTCCAATTTTATTCTATTATTGAGTTCTCTTTTCACATTAATTCTGTATGTTCCATGAGGTTTGAAGATTTATTTATTTATCAATTTACCCTTAACATTACCATTAATTGTTTTATTATTTACTATTCATTATTCATTTCTAATTTAATACCGCTCAGATTATGTCTAGCAATAAGCACGTGAAAAAGTGCGAAGTTCGAGGACTTAAAATAATTATTTATTCAATATTAAAACATCATTTTCATTATATATTGACTGAAATTTTATGATATATGTTTTAAAACGTTTTTGAGAATTGTATTTACCAACATATGGTTGTTAAAAAAAGCAATATCTAGGGCAAATTACTTATAGATTGCACACTGTTTGTATAGTTCTTAAGTGATTTCTCAAAAGCTCCGAAGTTCGAAGTCATCGTCTGCAGCAACCCGCTTATTGTATTGCTTAATCAGTGCCATCAGATCACAGAAAATCAGAATGGACCACTTTTGTCATTCGTACTTTTGGTCATTTCAATGCTCGCTCAAGCAGAAATAATAACACGGGTGGATGAACATTCGCTTTGAATATAAGAACTTAGATTACTATTTAAACAACTTTCCCTCTTAAGGAGCGTTTTAGTGGGCGATTATATCATCAGACAGACGCGAAGAGGGACGCAAGAAGGTGAAAAATGTTTTCTTACATTACATTCATAAGTTACTTTCACCACTTTCGTTTACATACTAACTTTCCACGAATGGTTTTTGCTTCATTATTCTAAAAAAAATTTAATAAAAATTCATATTGCTAAAAAACTAATCTTGTAAATTACAAACTACGATCTTGAAATTAAACACTATACCATTTATTCATAATTGATAAAAATAAAAAGATAGAATTAACACAAATGTTTATAGTGCTTTTGTATACTGTGTGATACGTTTAAAGGATATACACTACGATGAAAAGTATCCGGACACGTCCAAAATGGTGTTATGGAGTGGTCGTGTTTTTCATGGAAGAGACTTGCACCCCTTGTTGTTTTGTGTGGCACTATCACAGCACAGGCATACGTTGATGTTTTAAATACCTTCTTTCTTCCCACAGTGGAAGAGCAATTAGGGGATGCTGATTGCATCTTTCAACACGATCGAGCACCTGCTCATACTGCACGGCCTGTGGCGCAGTGGTTACACGACATCCCTGTATTGGACTGGCCTGCACAGAGTCCTGGCTTGAACACCTTTGGGATGTTTTGGAACGCCGACTTCGTGCCGGGTCTCACCTATATCGATGCCTATTCTCAATGCACCACTCCGTGAAGAATGGGCTGCCATTCAACAAGAGACCTGCCAGCACGTGACAGAAAGTATGCCTGCGAGAGTGGAAACTACCAACAACGCTAAGATGGTCCAACACTATTGAATTCTGGCATTACCGATGGAGGGCGCCACGAACCGACAAGTCATTTTCAGCCACGTATCCGTATACTTTTGATCATATAGTGTAAAGAATAGTTTCTGCTCCAAAAAACTAACATATTACTGTAGCATTTTATTGATGCTTATTACTGCAGTCTGTGTCCCTCACGAATAATCTCGCTCACGAATCTTTTGAAATGTCATTGTCCTACTTGACGTTCATTTGTTTCCAGACCTGCTAAACTACAGTAGGTGACCATATTATTAGGGCCAGTATTCATATATGTGTAATTTCTAGTTTACATGCTTGTTTTTTAGCAAAGGATTTGGTTTCGATACGATTTGTAGTATTACTGCTATAATTACTATTGTCTTCAATAAGTGATGTTACTTTTCATTCTGTTGAAAACTGTTGCTTTATGAGGACATTTAAATATTTTTTTTTAAATTTTTTCTTGCAAGTTTTTCCTTATCAAAATAATCAAAACTTCAGTATTGTTCCTTTGTGCATTACTTTTATTCGATATTGTGTGTGAATTTCATTTCAGTTTACGATGTAACGTCATAACCTGGAAATGTTTTTATTTTTAAGTATGGTAAGGCTTCATACTCGTCTCCAAGGAAAATGAGAGAAATATAAACCCTATTACTTGATTCAACACATTTATAGTGAGATGTAGAAACTTATAGTGTTTTATACGTAGGTTTTTCAAAAACTGTCGTGAACAGAATAAATTTAAACATTGATCAGAAGAAACCTCTGGAAACTGGCCATGTGGGTAAATATGGTATTAAAAGTTTACCAGTCTTCGTACCGATCGTACAATAAGGGGTACCTGCCTCAAAAACCTAAAAAGAGCGTTTCCTTTTGTCTACGATGATAAGTCCCAGGGAAGTAAAATGTTGCAAAAGGACAGTGCAAAGACCATTAGCAGAAGCAAAAAGCCACGCAGCTCCCAGGCTATAACGAATAAGCGACAGCAATCGGCCAGACAGCATTGAAATGTGCCTGTTGGAGAGTGGACTCGAGTAATACAACCTTTTTATACATTTAAAGCACTAGTCTATTTCATCAATATTTGTTTCTTGTAATATTTTACAGTTAAGCTTCTCTGACGAATTATTTGGTCGACTAAAGTTCATTTGCCCGACGACGCTC